AAGAAAAGGGAAGTAAGGAAAGAAGGAAGGAATGGAAGGAAGGAAGGAAATGGGGAAGAAGGAAAAGGAAGAAAGGAAAGGAGCTGGGCAGAAAGGAAAAGAGGAAAGGAAGGAAAAAGGAAAGGGAAGGAAGGAATGGAAGGAAGGAAGGGAAGGAGATGGGGAAGAAGGAAAAGGAAGAAAGGAAAGAAGAGGAAAAGGAAGGAAGGAGATGGGGAGAAAGGAAAAGAGGAAAGGAAGGAAGAAAACGGAAGGGAAGGGAAGGAAGGAAGGGAAGGAGATGGGGAAGAAGGAAAAGGAAGAAAGGAAAGAAGAGGAAAAGAAAGGAAGGAGATAGAGAGGAAGGAAGGAAAAGAAGGAGATAGGATGGAAAGCAGGGGAGGAAGTGGGGGGGAGAGAACGGAGGGAAAGAAGGAAGGAAGATGGATAGCCCTCGAAGGAATTGGCAAGGAGTGTTCCAGAAAAGACGTCCGACCGGCGAGATCGCGGGTGCGAATTCACGGGAAATCGGAAGAGAGAGACGCACAAGCCGGGCCGGGATTAAAAACTCCCCCTCCCCTCCCTCGATTCATCCTCTCCTCCTTCCTTTCTCCATCCTCTCTTCCAGAGCCACCACATCCTGGACGGTCAACTCAGCAGCCTCAATCCGTCCTTGCTGGTCGACCTGGTCTGGTCGTTGTGCGTCTTGCAGCAAGCGGAAGCCGTCCACTTCCAGAGCGTTCTGCTGCCCAAGTTTTACTCCGGGTTCTTCGGTAGGAAGTGTGGAAGTCCGAGGCCGGGTCTGCATGGGCGGGGGGGGAAGAGGGGAGTGGACTGGGTTGGAGTAAACTTACCAGGAGGTTACTCCACCCACACACGGCCTCAGCATAGTAGACGAATTGACTTGAGCAGGGGGTTGGACTAGATGACCTCCGAGGTCCCGTCCGTCTCCATTCGTCTATGATTTCTGTAAGGGTCGCCCATTTGAGCATGGGGTTAGACTAGATGACCTCCGAGGTCCCTTCCAGCTCTGTCATTCTATGATTCTGTCAGGGTCGTCTGCCTGAGCGGTGGGTTGGACTACATGACCTCCGAGCTCCCAATTCTGTCATTCTATTATTCTGTAAGGGTCGCCCGCTTCAGCAGGGGGTTGGACTAGATGACCTCCGAGGTCCCGTCCACCTCCATGAGTCTATGATTCTGTAAGGGTCTCCCGCTTGAACGGGGTTGGACTAGATGACCTCCGAGGTCCCGTCCATCTCCATGAGTCAATGATTCTGTAAAGGTCGCCTGCTTGAGCAGCGGGTTGGACTAGATGACCTCCGCGGTCCCGGCCACCTCCATGAGTCTATGATTCTGTAAGAGTCTCCCGCTTGAACAGGGGGTTGGACTAGATGCCCTCCGAGGTCCCGTCCACCTCTATGAGTCTATGATTCTGTAAGGGTTGCCCGCTTGAGCAGGGGGTTGGACTGGATGACCTCTGAGGTCCCGTCCACTTCCATGAGTCTACGATTCTGTAAAGGTCGCTTCTTTGAGCAGGGGGTTGGACTAGATGACCTCCAAGGTCCCGTCCACTTCCATGAGTCTATGATTCTGTAAGGGTCGCCCGCTCGAGCAGGGGGTTGGACTAGATGACCGCCGAGGTACCATCCATCTCCATGAGTCTATGATTCTGTAAAGGTCGCCTGCTTGCGCAGGGGGTTGGATTAGATGACCTCTGAGGTCCCATCCACCTCCATCTATGATTCTGTAGGGGTCGCCCGCTTGAAAGGGGGTTGGACTAGATGGCCCCTGAGGTCCCGTCCACCTCCATGAGTCTATGATTCTGTAAGGGTCGCCCGCTCGAGCAGGGGGTTGGACTAGATGACCGCCGAGGTGCCATCCATCTCCATGAGTCTATGATTCTGTAAAGGTCGCCTGCTTGCGCAGGGGGTTGGATTAGATGATCTCTGAGGTCCCATCCACCTCCATCTATGATTCTGTAGGGGTCGCCCGCTTGAAAGGGGGTTGGACTAGATGGCCCCTGAGGTCCCGTCCACCTCCATGAGTCTATGATTCTGTAAGGGTCGCCCGCTCGAGCAGGGGGTTGGACTAGATGACCGCCGAGGTCCCGTCCATTTCCATTCATCTATGATTCTGTAGGGGTCGCCCGCTCGAGCAGGGGGTTGGACTAGATGACCTCCGAGGTCCCGTCCATCTCCATTTGTCTAAAAGGAAGGAAGGAAAGAAACAAACGAGAGAAGGAAGGCAGGAGAAAGACGATAGGCGAAAAAAAAAAAAAATACCCCCATCACGTCGTGCTTCTCCTCTGAGCAAGGGGCCGCGGGGTCAGACTCGATGACCTCCCGAGCTCCCTCCCGGGACCCTATCCATTCTGTCCCGTTTCTCCCCCCCCCCACGCAGGAAACTGGACGCCGGCCCGGCAGAACACCTGGCTGAAACTGATGCACATCAACACCACGGCCCAGCTGGAGTCCCCGGGTTACGCCGGCCCCTTCCTCCCGTCGGACAAGCTGGGTCTCCAGGACTTGGGGGTCACCCGGACCCCCACTTCCCTCCAGACCGACGTCAACGCCGTCCTCGCCAAGCTGGCCGGCGAGGAGGCGAAGCTCCGCTTCAACGTGGACACGCCCTACGGCTGGAAGCTCGGTGAGACACACAAACACATACACATACACAGGGTTTGGGGGTGGGGGGTAGAGGGGAGGACCCCCCCACACGCACGGATATGGGAGGGGGGGTGTGCCTTAGCGCCCGACCTCCAGGTAGCAGCTCCGCCTCGCTCTCGCGACGCGGAGCTCCCCGGATGCTTCGGACGTACGACGCCAACCGTCGCTAAGCGAGACGTCGGTTTGGTGAGTTTTGGAACCGTTTTACGACTTTCCTTGCCCCGGAGGGGAAGTGAATCCCTGCACTACTTTAAGTTGAAGTTAAGTTGTAAGTGAAGTACAGGAGAAGTTTCAAGCTGAGGTGAAGTTTTGAGTTGAGGTGAAGTTAAATTTAAGCTAAGTTTTAGGTTACCCGTAAGTATACGATAAGTTTTAGGTTAAGGTTAAGGTTAAGGTAAGTTTTAAGTTAAGGTTAAATTTAGTTTTAAGTTGAGGTTAAGTTTTAAGTTAAGTATACAATGTTTTAAGAAGGTTAAGTTGAGATTAAGGTAAGTTTTAAGTTGAGGCTAAGTTTAGTTTTAAGTTGAGATTAAATTTTAAGTTGAGGTTAAGGTAAGTTTTAAGTTGAGGTTAAGTTTAGTTTTAAGTTGAGGTTAAGGTAAGTTTTAAGTTGAGGTTAAGTTTAGTTTTAAGTTGAGGTTAAGTTTAGTTTTAAGTTGAGATTAAATTTTAAGTTGAGGTTAAGGTAAGTTTTAAGTTGAGGTTAAGTTTAGTTTTAAGTTGAGGTTAAGTTTAGTTTTAAGTTGAGGTTAAGTTTTAAGTTGAGGTTAAGTTTAGTTTTAAGTTGAGATTAATTTTTAAGTTGAGGTTAAGGTAAGTTTTAAATTGAGGTTAAGTTTAGTTTTAAGTTGAGGTTAAGGTAAGTTTTAAGTTGAGGTTAAGTTTAGTTTTAAGTTGAGGTTAAGTTTAGTTTTAAGTTGAGGTTAAGAAGTTTTAAGTTGAGTATACAATAAGTTATAAGTTGAGATTAAGTGTTAAATTGAGGTTAAGTTTAGTTTTAAGTTGAGGTTAAGTTTAGTTTTAAGTTGAGGTTAAGTTTTAAGTTAAATATACAATAAGTTGTAAGTTGAGGTTAAATTAAATTTAAGTTTTAAGTTAAGTATACAATAAGTTATAAGTTGAGGTTTAGTTTTAAGTTGAGGTTACGTTTTAAGTATACAATTAGTTGTAGGTTGAGGTTAAGTTAAATTTAAGTTAAGTTTTAAGTTAAGTATACAATAAGTTATAAGTTGATGTTTAGTTTTAAGTTGAGGTTAAGTTTAGTTTTAAGCTGAGGTTAAGTTTTAAATATGCAATGTTGTAAGTTGAGGTTAAATTAAATTTAAGTTTTAAGTTAAGTATACAATGTTATAAGTTGAGGTTTAGTTTTAAGTTGAGGTTAAGTTTTAAATATACAATGTTGTAAGTTGAGGTTAAATTAAATTTAAGTTAAGTTTTAAGTTAAGTATACAATGTTATAAGTTGAGGTTTAGTTTTAAGTTGAGGTTAAGTTTTAAGTATACAATTAGTTGTAGGTTGAGGTTAAGTTAAATTTAAGTTACGTTTTAAGTTAAGTATACAATAAGTTATAAGTTGATGTTTAGTTTTAAGTTGAGGTTAAGTTTAGTTTTAAGTTGAGATTAAGTTTTAAGTTGAGGTTAAGTTTAGTTTTAAGTTGAGATTAATTTTTAAGTTGAGGTTAAGGTAAGTTTTAAGTTGAGGTTAAGTTTAGTTTTAAGTTGAGGTTAAGGTAAGTTTTAAGTTGAGGTTAAGTTTAGTTTTAAGTTGAGGTTAAGTTTAGTTTTAAGTTGAGTATACAATAAGTTATAAGTTGAGATTAAGTGTTAAATTGAGGTTAAGTTTAGTTTTAAGTTGAGGTTAAGTTTTAAGTTAAGTATACAATGTTATAAGTTGAGGTTAAGTTTTAAGTTGAGGTTAAGTTTTAAGTATACAATTAGTTGTAGGTTGAGGTTAAGTTAAATTTAAGTTACGTTTTAAGTTAAGTATACAATGTTATAAGTTGAGGTTAAGTTTTAAGGTAAGGTTAAGTTAAGTTTAAGTTGAGGTTAAGTTAAGTTTTAAGTTGAGATTAAGTTTTAAGTTAGGCTTAGGGTTAGGGCCGTCGTAACTATGACAAACTACCGTAAATCAAAAACTTGCTATAGCGGGCCCTCGCCCGAATTTTGAGCAAGTGACCGTGACGACGGCCGTAAGTCCGAGGACCTTCCATAAATCCCTTTGTTATTTTTCCCGGGCCGTCGTAATGACGAACGGTCGCTGAACGAAGGTCCCGAAAACCGAGTTGGCCGAATTCGTCCACCTTCTCAAAGACGGGCCATCCCCTCTCCGAGGGGCAGAGTGGAGGATGGGTTTGGGAGTCCACCAGAGGGACGGAGAGTCCTCGGCTTTTCCGCCGTTTGGTTTAGTGACCGGTCCGGGCGAAAAAAGCCGGGTTTTTTTCCCGTTTAACGACCGTTTACCCTCGTCTTGAAATTCAGACGCTTGGCCAAACGACTCGTCTTTACGACGGCCGCAGCGTCCCCGGCGTCGCGTCTTCCCCTTTTGCGACCGTCGGATGGGGGAGGAAAGCCCGATTCGCTTCCGAACTTTCACGCCTGCAGGGATTCGCTTAAACAACCGGGGTGGGGTGGAGCGCTAGGAAGATCATCCAAACGGGGCAAAAAGGTCCTTGAAAGGACGAGTCTCGCTTACCGGGGAAATTGCGGGGTGCTGTTGTGGTCACAAAACGAGGAATCCCTGGCAGTCGTTCTCTCTTTGCAGACGCCGAGATGGTGCTGGACTCCGAAAACAATCCGCTCCCAGTGGATTCCTCGGTGCACCAGCCGTCCGTGGAGGCGGGGGGGAGAAGGTGAGAGACTTCCTAGAGGTAGGAAAGGTTTTTTGGGGGGAGAAGGAGGAGGTGTTTCCTCCTGGGGACACCCCCCCCTCCCAGGAGTAGCCAGGTAGTAAGAAAAAAAAATAAGTAGGATGTTTAGGGAGCATCCTAGATTCCAGAAACCGTGTTGCGGACGTCTCGTGACCCGACTAGGGAACGTCATCAGTGCTGGGAGGGAGGAGGAGGAGGAGGAGGAGGAGGACTGGGGGTGGTTTCCTCAGAAGATCCAAAAAATGATCTTTTCTCTCCGAACGAGTTCCAGGCATGTTTAGCTCTGGTTGATTGTTCTTATTTTTCCTTCCTTCCTTCCTTCCTTCCTTCCTTCCTTCCTTCCTTCCTTCCTTCCTTCCTTCCTTTTTTGTCCTTCCTTCCTTTCTCCCTTCTTTGTCCTTCCTTTCTTCCTTCCTTTTTCTCCTCCCTCCCTCCCTTTCTCCTTCCTTCCTTCCTTCATGCTTCCATCCTTCCTTTCTTCCTCCCTCCCTCCCTCTCTCCTTCCTTACTTCTTTGTCCTCCCTCCCTCTCTCCCTTCCTTTGTTCTTCCATCCTTCCTTTTTTCCTCCTTCCTTTTCTTCCTTCCTCCTTCATTCCTTTCTATCCCTCCCTCCCTTCTGTCTCTCCGTCCTTCCTTCCTTCCCTTTCTCCTTCCTTCTTTGTACATTTTTACTTTCCTTCCTTGTCTCCTTCCCTCCCCCTTCTTTCTCCTTCCTCCCTCCCTCCCTTTCTTCCTTTGTTCTTTCTTTCTTTTTCTCCTTCCCTCCTTCCTTCTTTCTGTCCATCCCTCCATCCCTTTTGTCTCTCCTTCCTTCCTTCCTTCCTTCATCCTTCCCTTTCTTCCTTTTTTCTTCCTTTCTTTTTCTCCTTCCTTCCATCCTTCCCTTCCTTCCTGCTTTCCTTTCTTCCTTCCTTCCTTCCTTCTGTCCATCCCTCCCTCCCTTCTCTCTCCTTCCTTCCTTCTTTCCTTCCCTTTCTCCTTCCTTCTTTGTACTTTTTTCCTTCCCTCCCTTCTCTCTCCTTCCTTCCTCCCTCCCTTTCTTCCTTTGTTCTTTCTTTTTTCTCCTTCCTTCCTTCCTCCTTCCTTCCTTCTGTTCTTCATCCCTCCCTCCCTTTTGTCTCTCCTTCCTTCCTTCTTTCCTTCCCTTTCTCCTTCCTTCTTTGTACTTTTTTCCCTTCCTTCCTTCCTTCCTCCTTCCCTCCTTCCCTCCCTTTCTCCCTTTGTTCTTCCTTTCTTTTTCTTCTTTCTCCCTTCCTTCCTTCATCCCTCCATCCCTTTTGTCTCTCCTTCCTTCCTTCCTTCCTTCCTTCCTTCCTTCCCTGAGACAGGCTTGCCTTTCTCCTCTGGGAGTTCCCCAATTTCAGCAGCCGGAGTAAAGATCTCCTGGGCCGCTTCGTGATGGCCCGACGGCACATCCAAACCGCTGGCTATGTGGTGGTCGAGGTGAGTCCGGGATAGATGACCTCCAGGGTCCCTTCCAACTCTGTCATTCTATGATTCTGGAAGGGCCTCCTGCTCGATCAGGGGGCTGGACTAGATGACCTCCAGGGTCCCTTCCAATATGATTCTGTAAGGATCACCTGCTCGATCAGGGGGCTGGACTAGATGACCTCCAGGGTCCCTTCCAACATGATTCTGTAAGGGCCTCCTGCTTGAGCAGGGGGCTGGACTAGATGACCTCCAGGGTCCCTTCCAATATGATTCTGGAATGGCCTCCTGCTTGAGCAGGGGGCTGGACTAGATGACCTCCAAGGTCCCTTCCAACATGATTCTGTAAGGATCTCCTGCTTGAGCAGGGGGCTGGACTAGATGACCTCCAAGGTCCCTTCCAACATGATTCTGTAAGGAACTCCTTCTTGAGCAAGGGCTGGACTAGATGACATCCAAGGTCCCTTCCAATATGATTCTGTAAGGGCCTCCTGCTCGAGCAGGGGGATGGACTAGATGACCTCCAATGTCGCTTCCAATATGATTCTGTAAGGGCCTCCTGCTCGAGCAGGAGGCTGGACTAGATGACCGCCAATGTCCCTTCCAATATGATTCTGTCAGGGTCTCCTGCTGGAGCAGGGGGCTGGACTAGATGACCTCCAGGGTACCTTCCAATATGATTCTGTAAGGAGAAGGGGGCTGTACTAGATGACCTCCCGGGGTCCCTTCCAACATGATTCTGTAAGGCTCTCCTGCTTGAGCAGGGGGCTGGACTAGATGACCTCCCAGGGTCCCTTCCAACATGATTCTGTAAGGATCTCCTGCTCGAGCAGGGGGTTGGACTAGATGACCTCCAGGATCCCTTCCAACATGATTCTGTAAGGATCTCCTGCTTGAGCAGGGGGCTGGACTAGATGACCTCCGAGGTCCCTTCCAACATGATTCTGGAATGGCCTCCTTCTTGAGCAGGGGGCTGGACTAGATGACCTCCAGGGTCCCTTCCAACATGATTCTGTAAGGATCTCCTGCTCGATCAGGGGGCTGGACTAGATGACCTCCACGGTCCCTTCCAATATGATTCTGTAAGGATCTCCTGCTCGAGCAGGGGGCTGGACTAGATGACCTCCAAGGTCCCTTCCAATATGATTCTGTAAGGATCTCCTGCTCGATCGGGGCTGGACTAGACGACCTCTAGGGTCCCTTCCAACATGATTCTGTAAGGATCTCCTGCTCGATCAGGGGGCTGGACTAGATGACCTCAAGGGTCCCTTCCAATATGATTCTGTAAGGATCTCCTGCTCGATCAGGGGGCTGGACTAGATGACCTCAAGGGTCCCTTCCAATATGATTCTGTAAGGATCTCCTGCTCGATCAGGGGGCTGGACTAGATGACCTCCAAGGTCCCTTCCAATATGATTCTGTAAGGATCTCCTGCTCGATCAGAGGGCTGGACTAGATGACCTCCGAGGGTCCCTTCCCGCTCCATCATCTCTCTCTCTCTCTCTACCCCCCCCCCCCCTTGAACAGATCCCTTACCACGAGTGGTTCAACCTGAACACGGACTGGAAGAAAACCCAATATCTCAAAGACAAGATCCAGAAATCCGTAACCAAAGATCTGGCGGAATAGGAACTCGGCTCGCCGGGACGTTTTTTCTCCGAAAAGGGACCCGATGGATGGGATGCCGGGAGGGGGGGGGGAACTTTCCTACCGGGTGTAGAGCGCGAGTAAGCGAATGTGAAACTGCGGCGGAATATAAAATGGTTATTTTTTTTGCAGACTGGCTGGCTTCTTTTTTTCCTGGGTGGTTTTTTTCCCCAAAATCGGGGTGGGGGGGAGCAAAGGAGGAGTAGGGAGCGAGTAACGGCGAAGTAGCGGCCTTTTCCAGTCTCCTGGGCCCCTCGATTGGCCAAGACGGTCCTCGGCTTAACGACCGCAAGGCGGAGCCCGGATTTAACGTCGTTTCACTTCACGACGTGCATCCCGTCATCCCCAAATTAAGGGGATTTTGGCCCCCTTTTTATTTCCCCGGCTGGGGTATCTCTCTCTCTCCCCCCCCACAAAGAAACACCTTGTGTCCCCCTTTCCTTCAGCGCACGAGGCCCTGAAACATCACCCCCCCCGATTCCCCCCCACACACACACACAAAAAAGGATGCACAAACACGACAATCCACACACAACCCTTGTTTTCCCTCTTTGGTACCCGTCCGTGAGGCCGGTCGGTCGCCATGGAGATGAAGGCAGCAGGCGGAGGCAGTTTCCATGGCAACCCCATCCCGAATGGGAGGTTTCCTCCCCATTTCCCGACGTCACAATGGCGAAACGGCACAAGTGTGTGCAGAGAGGAGTCGTTTTGGCCAGCCAGTCTGTGACTGCCTTCCTGGAATGACCGGAAGCCGGCATTAAGCCATCATTGGGGGGGGGGGTACCGACAGCTGATTTCCCGCAAACGGGGGGGGGCGACTTAGCCGCGCCGGGGGGGGGGAAGCCCAAAGTCAAAAGAGGGATGAATTATGATTGACGTTTTCAGGGTTCGGTTGTTAACGATCGGGAAATGGGATAGGGTTTCCTGCCTGAGCAGGGGGTTGGGCTGGATGACCTCCGAGGTCCCTCCCAACTTGATGATGATGATGATCTTGATAAAGCTTTCAGAAGGCAGGAGACGGACGGATGGATGGATAGGAGAGAAAGAGAGATGATATGAGAGAGAGAGAGAAAGATAGAGATAGAAAAGATAGATTATATATATATATATATATATATATATATATATATATATATATATATATATTCAGAGAGATTAGAGGGATGATTAGATGATAGAGACAGAGATGATAGAGATAGAAAAGATCAAGAGATGATAGAGATAGACATAAGATGTTAGAGGTAGATTAGAGATAGACATAAGAAGATAAGACATAAGAAGAGACTGGACAGCCATTTGTCCGAAATGGTATAGGGTTTCCTGCCTGAGCAGGGGGTTGGACTAGATGACCTTGAAGGTCCCTTCCAACTTTACTATTATTATTATTATTATTATTATTATTAAGACACTGGACAGTCATTTGTACGAAATGGTATAGGTTTCCTGCCTGAGCAGGGGGTTGGACTAGATGACGTCCAAGGTCCCTTCCAACTTTACTATTATTGTTATTATTATAGGGTTTCCTGCCTGAGCAGGGGGTTGGACTAGATGACCTCCAAGGTCCCTTCCAACTTTACTATTATTGTTATTATTATAGGGTTTCCTGCCTGAGCAGGGGGTTGGACTAGATGACCTCCAAGGTCCCTTCCAACTTTACTATTATTGTTATTATT